CTGACATGCCAAAACCTGCAGGGCAACTCACTCAGAACATGCATGTGTGAGAGGAGCTAGTTGACGGCACCAAGATGACATGGTGAGTAAAGGTTAACGGCATTCAGGGGATGGAAATAAACAACAACAACCTGGTCTCTGGTATCATGCAGATTTAAAAAAAAGGTCAAACTTGGACAGAAACTTGCCTCCTTTCTGTGTTTTTTTAAATTCGCCTGTTGTGGGTTTGTCTACTAAAAAGTCCCTTCTGGTCCGAAGTGTGACAGTGGTCTTGGGGCGATCTGGCACGCTCTACATCCCTCCCCCGCTGGCACGAGGGGCAGTGTATTAAAATAAATCTGTGCACACGTCCCACCCCAGCGAGCTCTCTAGACATTACCTTATACAAGGCCAGGCCCGGCGCGTTGTGTCGTCCCACTGTGGGCAGATTTTAGCTCCCATTGCTGGTCCCGGCCTTAACCCCACCCACCTCAACCCCCCCTCCTCCTCCTCAGTCTTTGGGCCCCCACCTCTCGTGTGTTTCTGTGTACATGATCTCACATGACTCGGCAAAACCCCGGGGCACGGAGTAGGGCTGTCCGGCCCTTTGTTTTTTTTCTTCAAGAGGGGAGGAGAAGATTGACTTTGTGGAAGGGGACCTGCAGTGCTTCCCTCGACTTGGCCCAAATTGTCCCACTTGTCAGGCCTGATGGATTTTGGCTAAAAATAAAAGCAAAAAAAGGGGCCCGAGAGAGAGAGAGAGAGAGACGGATTAATGAACTCAGCGGCTCTCCCGCCGGCTAAACCCGGCAGCCACATTTCTCAGAGTCCCCGGGTCCCGATGGGACGGCATGCACGCCCCCCCCCCACCCCCCCGGGAGAGCGCTCAAACAAAACATCCCCTCTCTTTTAGCGTGTGCGGCGGAGGCGTAGAGCAAACGCGAGATGAGCCAATCGAGTGAGGAATTCCTGCACCTCCCGCGCCAACCGACTCCTCTCCCCACCTCTCTCACCCCGCCCAACGCACATTCCCTCGCCACATTCATACGAGCAGAAAAAAGGGAGAAAAAAAATATGGAGCAAAACAGAGCAGCAGCAGCAGACGGGATAGAATGGTCAACAACCCAACTCAAACAAATACAGCGGCTGATGAGTGCATGGGCTTTTCCTTCCAGGAGATTAAGTCTGGTCCTGATTACTGACCGGACAGACCCTACAAATGGAGCCTGTTTGTGTGGAATACTGTTTGACAACTTTTAACGCTCTCTCATCACCCTTCAACCCCCTCGAACCTTTGGTCGCTTTCCCGTGGTTTTCGTTTTCTCCGCTCACCGGCTCATAACTGCACATCACACACTGTTATTTACCCACAAATGCCATCAGTGTCTGGGTGGTGCTGGACATGCTCTAAAACTAGCCACGGAAACATTAGAAAGACAATCAGGGCTCTACTATAACTCGAGGAGAGGTTATTTCGTAGGAGTTCTAAGTGGATTCCAGATCACCAACTGAGATACCGTAAGCAATGAGTTGGCAACCCTGGTTCCAGCAGCGCGTGTCCAACGTTTCTCTTTTGCTATTGGATTGAGCGACAACACCAAGGCCATTGAGGAGAGTTTGATGCCGCACGTCACGTTTTCCACCTCCGACGGCTGGCTTTTCACCTCGAAAGCGGACAAAGTCGCGGAAACCGTTGCCATCTAATGCTGCAGGAACTACAAAAGCTCAGGGCGGGAGTTGTTTACGGAGTGACCCCGGGTGAGAGGCTCCTTTAAGTATCCCTTTTCCGTTCGCCATATGTGAAGCTCGAGCACGAGGTCTGCGCGGGTGTTCCAGACTGGCCATCTGGATGCGATCATAGACCGCGAGCGCAGATGCAGTGAAAACGCTTGGTGGCGGCGCGGGACGCCCAGCCTAATGACTGGGGAGAGCGCATTCTCAGCCCCTTGCAACAGGTCAGTGGCAGGCGTGGGCCTCACTTCCCCTCGTGCCGCACGCACACACCAAGCGGAGGGCGGGGAGTCTGGGGCTTGGCCTCACCTCGCCTCCCGCGCTACCCACCGAGAGTGTTCCCAAACTTTCCTCCTCGCCGGATAGAGGAGCAGAATTGCAAGCGGCGATACGTGATACTGCAGGGTTAAAAATTGACTCACCAGCGACGGACGCGGCAGCGTTCGGTGACTTCAGTGTAGCGCTCTTGGTTTACAACCGGAATGGAGGCCAAGTGAGACTCTCATGACTCGTACAACAAAGGTAGCCCCTTCTTTTCTCGTCCCACTTAAAGATTCAGAGCCACGCTTTCCGTCAGGGGTTTTGATGCGGCCTGGAACTTGTGAACAGAGAGGATCAGACATTCACACGCATGTCAAAGCAGAGAACGTCCTGTTCAGGAGGGGCGGGTGTGGGGGCTTCAAAGACCCTCATGGTATGTGAGGCATGAATGATCGGCCCAAACAGGCCGAGGATATTTCTTTGGTTTTGATGCCACCGCACACGGACGCACCACGAAGACGATCGCCACAACATCGTGTCATGCAGGAGGAGCTGCAAGCTTTTCCAACCGTGGTTAGCTGTGCATCAATCAGAGCCCGTTGGGAAAAGAAGGGAACTGGGAGGGAGGGAAGTTCCTGAAAGCCCCCTTGTTTTGGTGTTGCAGGGCCGCTCGATTCAATCTGAGAACCAGAAGTCTTTCGCTGCAGGTCAGAGCTAAAAATGGAATCCCTGAACGAGGAGGGAACATTAGCATAAAATGTAACAGTGTCATTTTTTTCCATCGCCAAATTCCTTAACATGCAATATTTTCCCCTTTCTTGAAACACGGGCATGTTTGCGGCCGAGGGACCGAAAAGAGCAGCATTTCTTCATACAGAAATGATTGATTCAAGAGACATTCCGGGAGTATAAAAGGGAATCATTTCTCCCACTCTGTGTCAGAAGTGCATGCAACAATGGCCTCTTTCACTGCCGTCACCAGGCTGGAGGGAGGAGGGAGGCGCATCATGGGAAGCAGACAGGCAGGACAGGCTCAGAGGCCTTGCACACACCCCGGCAACGAGCGGCGGCACTTAAAGCTACGGGCCGTGTGAGAGTTGCCCGCTTTGTGAAATCACACGCTGCCCGAAAAAACGCTCAGCCTGGATCAGAGGGCCACGGGAAGGCTGTTCAAGATGTTAGACAAACACAACTAATCACGTATTTCATTCACAGAAATATTTCTCAGGTGCATAACGCATATGAAATGTGTTAAACCGGTTTTCCTGGTAATATTAAAAAAAAGGGGACTTGCAAAAATTCAACCTAGTGGCCTTAGGAAATATCCTTAAATCTATTATTCTTAAGTAAAAGAATGCGGGATCCCTTTAAGCCTGTATTGTATTGTACAAGAAAAGGGGATAAGGGGAATTTGTGTCTTGAAAACAGATCGGAGATGGAGGAACCCCTTTGAACACTTGGGATTATCATCAGTTCTTGGAATATTTGTTTGTCTACTCCTCCAGTTTTTATCCATTGTTTCATTAAAAGGAAGCAGGAGGTCATTCAGGATCTGAGCATCCTTCTTGAGACATTTCTTAAACCCTTTGGTAGAAGAGTTAAGAAATATTAAAATGTAAGTTAAATGTATGTTAGTTAACATTTTGATTGCATAAAGTGTCTGCTTCAGCAGTTGGTTAAACTGAGCGCTGACTTTCTGTGTCGCTTCTTGCTCTCAAAAAACAAGATGGGGACGACCAGAGACCAATATGGCAACGGCAAAAAAAAAGAAAGCTGGTGTGGCTGAAAGCCAAGATGGTGATGTACAAAAAGCCAAACCTAAGGCATCAAAACCGTATCCCGCAAACCGATGGGTGGTGTCGCAACCAATATACGGACTCTAAGCCAGCTGAAGAACACTAGTATTATGGGAGCTGTCCTCAAATGTCTTGCTTTCGGGAAAGACAACGTTAACCAAATAAGAACGGTACAAAAAACGAACACAAAGGAGTTGGCATCGATAGGTATATATAAGTGATTTAGAATTTCCCATACAAGCGTTTCACAGTGTCATTGGCCTGAGCAGCACGCCACAGTTGGCAGAAAGGAAGAGTCTCCACGTTGAGCCAGTCTCGGGGCGCATGCCAGCGGCTCCACGTGGTCTGCGATTAGTACTCTGGCAACATGTACTCTTACTACAGCAGCTTTAACCCCACCTATACATGCTAAGCCGCAAACTCTGCCTATGAGCCCAACAGCTCCAGGACAAAGAACGCCTTTGTGTTTTAAGAGAAGAAAAGCCGGGATAAGAGTTCTGACTTCATACACACACAAAAGCTGCCATAAAGAGATCTGTGAGCAGCTTGTCACCTTAGAGTTATGGTTTCCCTTTTAACGAGCACATATTCAAGGGGAAATCTTGCCAGGGATCTATTATTGGAGGGTTAAAAATGTGGTTTTCCTTCATTATTAGGAGTTTTAATGGTGGCGTTGAGGCTCATTGAAAGATTTACGCGCACAGGAGTGAACAAAAAACACAGTCGGACCAATTATCGTCGGGTATTAAGTCTTCTACAGCTGCTATTCTAGCACCTGCAAAGGAAGTCAGAGAAGGAAGCTTTGTTTCCTTTGCAACAGTTAGTTATAAATGGAAATGCACACAATTTATCAGTTTGGAACAGTGCGGTTGTCGCTCTCTGCTTGCGAGCGGAGCGCGAACTTATTATCTGAAGATTATCCGTTTGATTGGAAAAATTGGAATTTCTTTTTTGGTGTACTTCAAAAGATAAATGAAAGCACGGCATTACTTTCCAACAATAAAAAAAATGAAAACAACGTGTTGCTGTTGAATTTGTGTAAGACAATTTAAAGAAATATGGATTCAGCGCCGTCTGAATTTCTGCTTGTGTGCACGTGTCACAAATGTTTGCCTCGGCTTCACCCTGTGTAACCACAACCGGAAAAAATAAAAGAAACAAACTTCCTGCCAACAGAAAATAATGTATTGACGTACAACAAACAGAGAGTTGAGTGAATATAGTGTTACTCACAGACTTGTCCTTCATCCTCCGATGGCGATTAGTGATCATTTATCCAGGGTACACTGACGCATTGACATCACTGTCAGTCGGAAAGACGCAGGTACATGACTGGCAAGTCCACGGGGGGCGGTGAGGGGGGGGAGGAGGGGGGCGCGGCCCTGCAGCGTGAAGACAGAGCGTCCTATCATCCATAATTACCCATGCAGTCTCAAAAAATACTGCAGAGAGCTACAGGTCAAAGGTTCTGACAGTGGGCATTACACCATGATTGATCATAAAAATATGTATAATGTGCACACGTTCAAGTTTCTTAGCATTCTCTAGCATTTTTATTTTAAGGTTAATATAATATCAGTTTTATAGTCTTGCATAAACACACAATTGAAGTATGAATAAAAAAAGGTATTAATCATTGATTGATTGATGCTGCATTAAAAAAAATACTTTGAATTTTAAACTTATTTTATTATCATTTATTTTTGTAAATCAAAATAGAAAATACCAAAAAAGATTTAATTTCATTGTTTTAATAAATTGTATTTTGTAATTCAAATTATTTTGTAAAATGACTAGAAACCTTAACGATAACATCAATAAGACCTTTCGGCTGCATTTAATTACATTTTCATCATCATTGATTATTCAACAATCTCTTTTGAATTAATATACCCATTGAGTGCATACCTTGACAAGAAAAATGTCACCTTTTAGAAACGCTTTCAACCACATCTAACAGTCTTCTCCTGTCATTATTATATTATTATTATTGTTATCATGATAAAGGACTAAAAATTATTTTTAAAATGACCCTGAGGAAATGGAGTTTGGTGTTAGTTTAGATGTCTGCCTCACTGGGTCTCCTTCCAGCAGTAATTCAGACAACATTGACAGAAGTGGAATTAGTGTGGAAGACGGAATCTGTCAGACTCCCATCATAGTTAAAACCTTTGAGCGTCTGCTGTAACGACTTTGGGTCTCGATTGCATGAAGAGCGAACGTGTGGTTAAAAATAAATCTGCCATTTTCGAAGCAGTTGCAACAGAGATATCTGGATGTGTGAAAAAATCTGCAGAGTTGAGTGCGATAGAGGCGCCTGTTTGTGGACTGGTAGCTGTGCTCTAGGAGGAGGATGTGTTGGCCTAACGCGCGGCATAAACCCCCCCCCCCCTCCCCCCTACACGTCGTACTGTTCAAACAGCCATCAGAATGAGACTGCGCAGCACTTGCTAGGCATGATGGGAACCAATTTGCCCCCCCCCCCTCCAAATACGACCGCTGAGTGAGATAAAAAGGGAAGCCGCGCTACTGTAATCCATCTAAATGGCCGACTCCTGCGTCCTTTCACGCAGCCATGACTACTGATCCCGCCTCTCACCGCCTCTGTCCCCGACTGCCTTTGTTTCCTCCATCATTCCGTCTTTTCGTGGGAACGCCTCTTTCATCAAACTTTAAAAAACGCTCTTGCTAAGGATTCTGTGTTGTCTTAAAGGCACAGTGTCTAGCATTTTGAGTAAATGTGGTATAAAATGAATACATTTTCTTAAGGATGCGATAGAAATACATATGGAGCGTATCCCCTTTATGGAGGCGGGCACCATGTTTCTAGAGTTGCCCAAAAGGGGCCCACGCAATGGTTCTAGATAAGGCCAATCACGCTTTCAAATTTTTCGGATTGATTGAAAGTTTTTCTGCACATTTGGCACACAGGAAAAGTTTTAGATGATTGCAATCTACAAACCTACCGCGAAAAAGCCAACAACTCTCCAAATACACTACCTTTAAAATATAGAGATTTTACTGGTACCGACCAAGATGGCGTGTGTAGTTAAATTTCACAGGGAAGTCCTTTGTATCAACGTGAAATGAAAACATTAAAATAAACGCAGCCTCTGACTGGTACTTCTGTAATGTAGCAATGACTGACAACCATGTTTCTAGCAGTTGTTGAGAAAACAGTTTATACGTGTTACCTTCACAAAATAGAGAGCAAAATGTAATCTGACAAAGTAAGAAGTGCACCAAACACAAACACACACACACACGCATGCTGCAAGGTGATAAGTGAGTGCCACTGCTTCAAAAGTGACTGACTGCAAGGGACCGGTCTAGACTGAGACAAATTAACCACTGCTGATCTTATTTTCGAGAAAAAGAGGAAAAAATAGCTTCTAAAATTCACCTTCAAAGTGAAACATGGGAGTCATGGGTTTAAAAGTGTGGGGGCGGCTCGTTTTGACATGCTTGGCCGACACAGATCTTGTGACTCCGCAGCGGACTGTCCACAACTTCAACGTGTTGACCTTTCAACCGTCTGCCCTTAATGACAGGGCCCGGTCATGTGACCGCTGCAGGTACACAACAACAGTCTGCTGCTCCACTGTTAAGCCCGTGCGGGTCATTCAGGTTCACACTTCCCCACTGCAGACTCCTGGGGACTTTTGTTTAAACCTGTCTTTTTTACTTGTGTTGCAAGAATCAGTAATTGATGGCTATCAGATGTCAACATCCGTCTTCTTACGCCCGTAAAACTTTGTGCTGTGGGGTCACTTCCTCTCGTTGCTCGGGATTACATTCTAACACCTCTAGCCGACAAGCGAGCGAGCAGATGGAGCAGGAAAATGAGTTTTGTGATATATTGCGAAGGGATGAGGTTTTTAAGGATTTCTCTCTTTGCCAAATGTTACATGTTCACTAAGGCCATTTCGTTGAGTACAATCATTTCCTCAGCGAGAATGATTTGCTCACGTGATTTGTGGACTGGGGGGAAAAAAGGGAACTCCAGAGATGTCAGGACATCAGCGTGGAGGGCCGGATCGTGGCTCAAAACGGATTGAGATTTAGTTTTTAATAATGTGGACAATTATTTTACTCATGTGTCTTTTTTCTAACCTAATTCCATAGTTGGATGATCCCTCTCGAGGTGTAATATTCTGTAATAGCCTTTTATGTGCAGCTCAATACTTTAATAGCAGCTTTTTACCTTTAAGGTATTAGTACTAAAAACACCATTGACAAAATGGAGTCCTGCAAAAATAACTGATGGAAGTTTAATTTAGTTTCAATGTAGGCAAATTTTTATGGATAATAACGAATGTTAACCTTTCCGTTTTTGTTTGTCAAATTGGATACCGATAAAAGATTGCGCTCCATCGACCTCTAAAACTTCTCCAGCTCCTTATTTCACATTTCAGGACACACGGCCAGAGAGGACTTATAATTGTTACCTTTTTACAGACTCAACCCTGAGATTAAAAGGATGAAATCAGCATCAACCCATCCGCGCACACGTTGCTCCCTCACAAGAGCGGCTCTGTACGTGGACTCCACCCAACACAGAGACTTTCATGTTTTCCATTCCACATCTGTGAGTGCGGCAACTAATGGAAAACCCATCGGGGTGAACGTCATGCTCTCGGGTTTTTAATGCTTTCATTTCACTGCCGTTTCTGTTCTCAAAAAATAAATCTTCCCCTTTCTTGCCCCTTGTGCCATTATCAGAGCGACAGGACGCCATAACTGGGAAAAGCACAAGGCGCAGTGGAGCAGGGTGCTCAGACGGGATCTCAACCTACGACCTGCTCTGAAATGGCAGGAAGCCACCGCCGGCAAATCCTGCTGAGCTGGATGTGAGCTGACTGTTTTACAGTACAGCACGTGGGGGGGCTCAGTAGAGGAAGTGGGCACATTACTGCACGTCCACACCCACAACCTTCCCCCCACCCCCCCCTCCCACCCAAAGCCAAGCCCCCTCCCACCCACCTGTGCTGGTATCACAGGATGCCCCCCCCCCTGCCCCTCGAACCCCCTTCTCCTCCATCAGACACACTCCTCCACAGCTGCACATCTTCACCAAACCACACACTGCACACACTCTGTTGTTTCACACTCCGCTGCTTTTGCAACGCCAGGGAAGGAGATATGATTCGACTTACTGTGCATGAAGTCGTTACGAAAACCAAGAAAAAAACCCTAGTCTAAAGCAACTCAGGTGAAATTCTGGGAATTTTCAACCACTCGACAGAACCGGACAGTTCTTTTGTAAAATAGGCACAGATTGGTTGGGTTCAGGAAACAAAAGCAGCTGGTTAGTTAGTTTTAGGTTAGAAAAGCACTTGGTTAGAGTCACGTTACCGAACGTACCGGGTTAGGTTGGGGAAGATGTTTAGATCAGGTTAATATAAGTCAATAACTCAAGTACCGTACGCACTTAAATATATTGGCAAAAGTTAATTACTTATAAATAATACCCAGTGGTATTTTTGGGCCAAGTGTGCGATACTGCTGAGTGTAAAGAATTCCATTGTGTAGTTTGTAGAATTACGATTACATTGATTTGGTTTTTGGGCAACTGTTTCTTTTCTGATTTGAAAACTGCTCTCAATGAAATTACAGTTTTGATACAAACACAGTCATTCACCTATTCACAGTCAGATATCTCAGAACCAGAAGAGGTACAAACACCTAAACATAAACAAACCACACGCCTTAAGAGGAGCAGTAGTAGGTTTTCTTGCAGCTCACGATCTCATGTTTTTGTTGGCAATTGTGCTGCGATAATTCCGTGCATGATCCGAGAGCATTCGTCATGGTCATCTGAGCTCAAACAACACATCTAATTGAGTATTGAGTGATCAATATCCCCCCTCCACCACACACACCCTCTCAACATTTTGTGTACTCCAACCCTCAGAAAAAGCAAGCCCATTATCTTCTATTGATACTGTGTTCATCAGCCACAGATGTCAGAGCTCCATGTTAGCACGCATGGGAGGCTTGGCAATTTTCCGCGGGGTGTCTGTGATGTGCTAAGCAGGGAAGACAAATCCATCTCCGGAGGAATTGTGACGCAAAAAACAACGGTCCTGCCACTGTGCACAGCAAAATGGACAGACTCAAATTAACACTATTGGAGTTAATTTCAACACTTTTAAAGTGTCCCATGGGGTCCACACTACACAGTGTCAATGTAACACTTTTTAAAGTGTTGCCATTTTAACACTGTTATAGAGTTAATTTTAACACTTATATAGTTGAAATTTAACAATACTCAAGCGTTAGTTTCTCAACACCAGTGGGTAGTGTTAGAAATTAACACTCATCGGAGTCATTAATTAACTCTTATAGTGTGATGTGCATACTATAAAAGGAGTTGCCCCAT